CTTCACTGGTGGGGAGAGAAGGTCTGAGTTTTAGGCAATGGGGACAATCACAGAGACAGGTCACAATCCAAGCAGGTGACTCCAATAGGCCCCTTTGCCAAGCACCTCTAGGGTGTGCGTGTGTGGTACTAGACTGGGCTATAGGCCGGGAATGCAGTAACATGTGTGACACCATCCCTCCAAGAGTTCCGAAATCTTAATGACCTGGCAGCGTTTTTTTTCTTGGAATAACTGCCCCTCCCTTCCCATTATCACAGAGAGTTTGTGCGTGAACGTGTATGTTTGTTTAAAACCAGCTCTGGCCTTTCTTCCCCCTGAACGCTCAGGGCCGAGTCAAGCCTGCCGCTTTAAGGAACCTCTTACTATCCTAAATCCTGTAGAGGGTTTGGATCGGGTGTAGGAAATTTTCACAAGAACCCAAATTTCACGTCGATTTGTGATGGATTAGCATACCAAAATTGGTTTAAAGTACACTTAATGGATGCATTACTGCGGGAGGGATCCGCCTAACCAGAGGATTTCTAAATTTATAAAAATTGAAATGCACTTCGGGTTACTGAGGAGTCTAAATTTGTCAAAGTCACAGGGTGGGAAGCAGGTCGTTGCAGAAATCTGAAGCTAGGGCTGCCGGAATGAATTTGAGAGCCTCTGCAATGACCTCTAGGACCCTCAGGAACCCTGGGCAAAGCCCTTTCCATAGCTGAAGCAGAATCTGTGCCTTGTGGGCCTTGTGTTTACTAAGCCCTGGCATGACTGAGGGTTAGAAAGGGACAGGAACCCAGTTCTAATGGGTTTGCCCACCATTAACTTGGTGTCATTGGCACCAGAATGTAGCAAACAGGTGTGCTTCTACACAACTGGTTTCTGAGCCTCAGTCTTCCAGCGTGAAGGATGGGCATAAGTAGCATTGCTTGTTGGGTAGGTTTAAGGATGCAGAATGGGAAAGTACTGCTTGTCTCATGGGGGTCTGTGGAGGTTCCTTTGGGAAGAGAATGGACCTTAGTTATCTCAGGGGCTCCCTCAGTCATTCTATTGTATGGCACACAGTAGGTGGTCAGAGAATATTTCCAGAATGAATGAATGTGACTATAAGGGCGGTAGTGGATCCTTTTTACAATGCTCTGATGTCCTTGTGCTGTCCCTTATAAAATCTTTAGTCAAGTTATAATCATCACTCATTTAATTCATGATTAAACAATTATATGGCAACTATGGACAAAACTTTCAAGAATGATGCTCACTAATAATAGCTACTTTGTTTCCTATAGCCCGATAATTGTGATTATCACTTTTCTATTTCTAAAGATTCATTTTTTTTAATTTATGCATATAGTATGTCTGTATACCATGTGCATACAGTGCCTGTGGAGGCCAGAAGAGGGCACTGGATGTCCTGGAACTGGAACTACAGATAGCTCTGAGCCATTACATGGGTGCTGGGAACTGAGCCCAGGTCCTCTGTAAGAGCAGTCAGTGCCCTTAACTACTGAGCCATCACTTCCACCCCTGTGCTTAGCATATGCTTTGCCATAAACACATTGCTGTAAATGGCTCAGTCAGCTACTGCCACAATAACGCTGTGCAACAAAACGGCTTACAACAGGGGAACGTTTTTCCCCCTACCTTGTTTATGTGTGTGTGTATACACCAGCTGGCGTGCCTCTGAGTACAGCCGGAGCTGGGATCACTTGGCTCCAGGGTGTAAACTGAACTCAGGTCTGTTTCGTGGTGTTCATTCTGGAGCCTTGCGGAAAGACGAAGCTCCTATTTAAGACATGCTCTTTATAAGGTGGGCCACTAGGATAGGACACAGCAAGCCTGGCCTCCCAAGAGCACTTCCAGCCTCTGACCTAGTTGTTCCCCAATATCTCATTGTCCTCCCCCACAAAAAAAAGGCAGAAGTCAAGTCGCCGAGTGGAGCAGCCGGCTCTCCATGAGGTGGTGGCAGGGGAGATGTATGTCACTTATACCATTGAGAAGTGTGTCAGCCAAATGTGCATATGGTGAAATGTAATCCTCTTTGTGACACATCAGGAGAAATTTCAACTTTAGTATTTGGAGGTTGGGCCTCTGGGAGGTGATCAGAATCAAATGAGGTTACCAGAGTGGGAAGTCCTGGGATTAGGTACTTGCTTTATAGAAAAGGAAGACAGACCAAAGACACACACAGGCACACGGCTCCCTGCTGTGTGATGGTCTGAACTACTTTGGAAGACTGCCAGTAAAAAAACAGAACTCTGCCAAATACTGGCTCTTGAGCCCCCAGGATCATGAGGTAAACAAGCCCCTTTTCTTTAGTGTTAGCCAGCTTCAGGTATCTTGTTATAGTGACGCAAACGTACGGGTGTGACCACTGTGGAAGACTGAAGAGCTGGGATAAATAACTCAATGGACCAATAGCGGCTCAGAAAGAAGGGACTCAAGCAGAATTAGTTAGTAGGTGCTGGAAGGAGGATTTGAACTCAGGCAACAACTCCAACCCCCACCCCATCATGACAACCTGGGAATGAATGCTGGGGAGACCACGTTTACTGTCTTAAACTTTCTGTGTTTGTTTCTTATCAATTGCCAAAGGCCTACCAGCACTAGTCTCTCCCCGTTGCTATCCATCCATCCCTCACTGCCTCTCTTTACTCACCCAGGGTATTTGGATGTTGTCAGAGCCTTTTGGGATAACAGGCAACGCTTGGATAATTTTTTGAAGTTAACGTTGAGAGAGGAAAAGAAAGAAATCCTTCTCCAGGTAATCGCAGGAACATGTATAATACTGTTGGAAAGTCCCGGTGGAACTCATATCAAAGCGGCGCAGGGATTTTACTTAAAAACAATTTGCTCCCATGTCAGCTGTGATTTCTGACACCTGAATTTGAAAGTCATCTGGGTGGGCCCAGCGCCATCTCCATAACGGGCATGTATTGGAAAGCCCCCATACGTGTGGCCCGGGGATCATATTCCACACACTCTTACAGGAGGGGATTTCCTCCTTGCTGTTTCCAAAGAACCTTCCCTGTGTTTGCTTAAACCGGCTGCACACCCTGCTCTGACAGCTGCCTGGCCCAGGACTCCGCTTGCAGGCGCCTGCACAACCCACCCTCTTTAACAGCAACCTGCACTGTGTCCCAGCGCAATTACTCGAATATATAAACCTTACTGAAAGGCAGTCTTTTCTCCGGAGCTAATAAATAAGCCCCAAAGCCACAACGTGTGTAAGACCATGAAAAATGGCATCATTATCTATTGGGAATTGTGAACTCTGCAAAAACCAGTTCACTGTATTTTTAGAAAAAAAGGTTTTTGTTTAAAAAAAAATAATAAAGACCTCCAAATCGCTAGGCTGAGTCTACACGGGAAACAGCAATACAGTCTGCTGACTAGGGGAGGGGGAGCCCAGCCTCATTGCTTCATTAATCTTTCTTTGCAGATTTTTATGTAAGAGGCAGTATTTGTTGGAAAACAAGACAGGGGTTTTGAAGAACTCTCTTGTCATTCACGGTTCCCATCTGCAGTTATAATCCTCTGATTGTGACCTCTGAGTCAGTAGCCATGGAGGCTGAGCCAGAAGTTTATGACTTCAGGGTGACAGTAGCTTCTAAGGCATGAGGTGCAACCTCCAGCAAGAGAGATGGGGGACTCCCATTGTCTAGAAACACCTTTCTTACATGTGCCAGTATTCTACAGTTTAGAGAGTGGTTTCCCTATTGCTTCGAGAAACAAGGTGCTGGACTCTGGCCATGGGAACAGACTGTGGCTTCTATCCCGTTCCCAGAGTCTGGGTTGGGTGCTCCACAGAGTTTAAGGTGTCTTTACACTAACTGATTTGCATCTTCAGCCCACAGCACGGGGCGGGGGGCGACCACTGGAGCCCTTCCTTGGAGCAACCCCCTCGTGGGCCACTGCCGCAGTCAGTGGTACTCAGTGTCCTGCAGAGCCTTACCTCTCAGAAGAAGCAGACCTACAAGGCTAAAGAGCTAGGCAGCCTTTGTAGGATGCAAAAATACAACAGAGGGCGCCGAAACCATCAGCGTCAATGGCCTTGAATACCAATGTATGGGCTGCCTCTGAACCGCCAAGTTCCTTAAAACTGTCTCTGGTAGCCTGGGTCACAGTCACACACACCAGGTTTCGGTTTTGCCTTTTCAGAGTTACCGCAACACACAAACTGTATTTACTTGCTGGGCGAGGGGGCGGGGACCAAACCCACCGCTCAGCGGGGCGCGCACGCCTTGATCTCACATTCCAGACTCGAGCTGATGTGTGTCAGCGCGACATGGGGCGGGGGGGGGGAGGGAGGGTACTCTTCAGAGGTTTCATTCGCCATCTACAAGTCACTCCCAAACTTTTTCCTCCTAGCGCTCGTGGAGTCAGGTTGATGCGCCCTGGATGCGGGGCGCTAGGCGCGGGGCTGGGTGCGCGCTCCCGCGGAGTCGTAGCTGCAGAGGCTTCCGAGCTCGTCTTGGGCTTTTCAGGTACAAGTTGGGTGCGGGCTGAAGGGTTGGGGGCGGCGAGAAGCGGCGCGCGGAGGTTTGGTTCGGGGTTCCGGTGCCCCTCTGCGGGTTCCGCTTCGGCTAGCCGGGACTGGAAGCTGGGAATCCGGGTGGCGGGGGCTGCGCGCAGCCTCACTCCCCGCGGTGCTCCAGGCGTGGAGGCGGCGGCGGCCCAGGCAGACAATGAACTTGGAGCGCGCCGAGCTCTGGCAGGTTTGGGCCCGCACCCCTCGGTCGGGCCTCCACGCTCCAGGCGCAGTCCCCAGTAGGAGGCGTCCCTTTCACTGCTCGGTCCTGGCCGCGCTCTGGGTGCCCAGCGCGCTTGGGGGCCCTGCGGGAACGACTGCGGGTGGAGGCGCCGGGGCTCACACGCCCCCTCCCTAGCCAGAGCGAATGTGGCCCGAGCTCCTAGACAGAGAACCGGGTGGTGGCGTGGTGGCGCTGTGGACAGCTGGAGGCCGGCGGAGGACGCACGCCGCCGAGCACGCACCGGCTGGCTGTCCCGCAGAAACGCCCCAAGGAGTCAGAATCCTCGCGACCCTGAGACAGTCAGCCCTGGAAGCTGAGGACGGAGGACCGCTGGATATAGGACCAATGGACAGACAGGTCGGCGATTTTCTGGAGCTCGCTCGCCGCGGGCAGAACTGGGGACCGGGGTTCTCCTAACCGTGCTCAATGCCCCTCCCCCGCACACTTTGGGGGAAGTTTCCAGGCGCAGCCTGGGGCAGGTACGTGGGCATCTACCACTGTCTCTGGTACCGATGGGAGCCGCCTCGGAAACCCGGGCTCTAGCTGCAACACGGCTCCCAGCGGGAAGACACGTGTGGGTTTTGGGGAACAGTTTCAAGTGTTGGCGTCTGTAGGACCAGGGTTTCTGAGGAGGGACTGTGGGGACAGGCCTGGGAAGAACCGATGGAGAGGCCTGAACTTTTTTACTCTCCGCTTTTTCCTACGTCCCTGTCTCCTACTCCCCGAAGCGGCCTAACTAAGGAGTCTGGTGGTGTCCCCGGCCAGCTGGGGAACAGCGGGTAGAACGAGGCTTGTCTGAACCGGGCCGCGGGGCGGCTGCGACTGCCGCCGGGAGCCGGGAAGGCAGCGGCCCGGACTTGGGGGCGAAGCTGGGGTTGGCGATGGCGTACTAATCGGTGGAACTGTGTGCGCCGGTGGAGAGGAAGCGAGCGTTGTGGTGGCTAGTGGCAGGTCTTGGCGCACTTGGCCGGGTGGAGCCCCTTGGGATTCCGGATGGCGCCGGGGCGAGGGGAGCCAGGCTTTGCAGGGAATGAATGGAGAGCTGGGGAAGCGCCTGATTTCTTCTTCGGGCGAACTGATTGGCTGGCTTGCGCTCATCAGTGTCCACGTTTAGGATTCCAAGGTCCCGCGCACCCTTGTTTGACTGCTCCATCACGATCTGAGTGTCCACGTTGCTTGCCTGTCTTGAGCCTCAGGGCAGACAACGCTGCTGGAGTAGCGGCTGGAGCAGCCCACTGTTGGGACTGGGTTGCCTGCTGCTAGGCTGCTGGCTGGTGGCCGGACATTGGCGCCACAAGCGCTCTTGCTGGTGGCGGCGAGCCTGGGGGTTGGAACCACCTGCTGCGGGGTGGGGTGGGGTGGGGGGGCTTCTTGTCCTGCGACTCCTAGTAGATCTGCTGAACTCCTTCACTCCATCCGTGTTGAGTACCGTTTTCAGGAATGAAGTTCAGGAAAGCCTTGTGAGGGCTTGGGGCCAGTGACTCCCTGAGGTTGGTTGCCCATTATCAACTGCTACTTCTGACCCGTGGGGTGCCTCTGTTACTGAAGCCTAGCTTTTCACTGCACCCATCTTTTGCAATGCCTGACTGAATGATGTGGGTCACCTCCTGTGATTGGAGTGATCATACCAATAGGCCTCCCGAGAACATCTGTATCCTCCTCCACCGTGGTTGCCCCGAGGGGAGATGAAGCTTAGAGGTTTTCCCAAAGTTTCTCTTGAAGTCCCTCTGTTCTCCACCAGAATTTTCCTCTCAGCTGCCTCCTTGCAAAATCAATACCTTATCTTCAGGATATGGCATTTGCTGCTTTTACCAAGTGTTAGTTGAACCAGGATCTGTTGACTGATACGTGAACACACACACATCATATGGTTTTGTTCAAAGTAGCCTGGGAATAAAAATGCTTTTTGGGTTGGATTTTACCAGCAAGTGTGCTTCCCTCCAAACTAAAGAAACACTCAAGATAATTTTTTTCCTTTGTTGTCACCTCAAGAGAGGTGAAGTGGCTTGCATTGTTTCTCTACTAGGGCATAGGTGAACAGGAAGACTTTGGTCCAACCTTCTTCCCAAGGTCTGACTCCCCCAGGAACTATCTTAGGATCTCCTGAAGGAAACACAACGCTGGAAGAGGCTGGTCTGTCATGCTTTTCTCTGATGCATACAAAACCTGGGCCACTGTCCTACCTAGGGATCTAGTGCTGTTAACGGTGGCTGCTGTGAGGGCCACTGTTCCTTCTACACCTTGTCTTCGCTTGCGTCTGAATAGAGGCCCCACTTTTCCCCATTCCCAAGAGAGCAATCCTGGCATCAGGAAGGTGCCAGAAAAAGAGGGAAAGGTTGGGCCAGTGGCAAGTGGATTGTGCCTATTCAGTGCCTTGAAAAGAACAATCTCAAATTAATCAGTTGGGCCCCAGGAGCTGGGAAGCTTTGAAACTGCAGAGAACATGCTGGAGATTTGCATGGTGGTGGTGGTGGTGGGTGTGTGCGCGCGCATGCGCTGTTTAGAGAGATAGATACCTTGAACAGGTGAGTGACACAGCAGGAAACCTCCACTCAGCTCTAGCTGTTGGGAAAAAGCAGAGTCCATGGGTCTTGTTAATTTCAAAACAGTTCTTAAGCCTGGGTATGGATGCATGGGCTGGAGTCCAAGGATGATGGAGGTGAGGCAGTGGTGGTAGTGGTGGTCCTGTGTTGAGGTGTCAGAGAAGACCTAAACCGGTATAGACAGGTGATGGTCCACATGGGCTCACACACTGATGTCTGCTTGTCTTGCCTAGAGCTAGAGGAGGCTGCCCAGGCTTCTCTACGTGCTTTGTGTCTTGGGCCCCACAGCTAGTCCATGCACCCCCATCAAGGGCAGTGAGGCTTCGCATAAAACATCTTGTCTGCTGGCTTACTGAATAGACCCCATAGCTGTGCCTAGGGATGCCATGGGAATAAGACAGAGTCCCTGCTCTCTCATAGGAGAGGCAGACAAGCCTGCCAGTGTCAGGTGGACAGATGATCCTTAAGGTGCAGGTCTCGGAGTGAGAGTGAGGCAAAGCCAGTGTAAGAGAGGGGTTGGCTGTCGGGACAGGGGAAAAGCCTGGGGTGGGTGGCTCTTCATGGCCACTATGCTGGCTTGGGTCTCTTACAAACTCCCAGATGAGGACCCTCTTTGGGGTTGGCAGCTGTCACTTCTGTCCACACCCCTTGAGCCTGTCCCCTTCCTGGAGCCTCAGCTGGCCCCTGTTATGTAGAGATGCCATTGGAAGGCCATGTGTATGAGAGAAGAGATGTTTTCAATTCTAAAGGTAGAAACTGTTTTGTCAAAAGTTGTAGCAGGCTCGGGAGTGTCATGCATCCAAGCAGATGTGTCTTCGGTAGTGTATGCCTTAGAAGTGACTGGTGAGTCACTGGGAATAAGAATGCAACCCATGTCATTTTCTGGGCTGTAGATTCGGAGGCTCAGGTACCGTGGATATTAAGTTATTTCAAAAGGCAGTTGGGTCCTCCAGCTGGGAATAAAGAGATCTTGTTTGTTCTTAGCTGGTGGAGTATTCAGAGACAAGGCGTTTCAGCTTACACAGTGGGTTTCTTTATTGTCCTTACATATTGGGTCCGGTGTGTTCCCCGAGACTGCTTCTCCTCGGAAACACTACGACAAAATGATCTATGCGAAGACCCGGCTCTCCACATCCCAAGGAGACTATAAAGGTGGCAGTTACGTACTTAGTTTGTCCAGCCTAATATCCAGGAAGAAAAGGGTTTGTGTCGATGTGGCCAATAGGAATTGTTTTCCTAAAACACGAGAATCGAGGAGCCCCTGTACATTCACAGCTGACCCTGTGCTAGGCAGGTCCCACAGATATATGTATCCTTTAGTCTCTCTTAGAGGTCCAGGGAAGGGCAATGGAGACCCTCCCCATGGTTTTGGTTATTCCTGGGAGGATGGGTGAACGGGGGAGGGGACAGTCCTCACTCCAGGAGAAGACTGTTTCCGTGAGTGGAATTAACAGTGGAGAGGAGTTGGCAAGTGGGAAGCGGTTTCTGTCCTTTACAGAATTTGCAGGGATGCAGCAAGGAGGGGAGGCCCTCCCCCCCATCGCTGAAAGCAGCTCCGTGCAATTTTTATGCATTCCCTTTAGGTGTGGCCCTGGGCCAGGTGCATGGGGGCAGAGAGTCAGCTCTCAGCACGCAGTTCCTGCACAGCAATGAGATTAGTGGGCGAGGCAGAACTTGTGCAAGTCAGAATTACATAATGCGGCTGACAGGCATCTTCGAGGGGGCCTTGGGAGCGTGCAGTGGGAGTCTGGCGAGTGCCTTGGAGATTGGAGTCTTCGGATGATTTCGCCCAGGTGTCCTATAAAAGAGTTAAGTCCCTGCCAGGTGCTGGGAACAATGCCTGGTAAATAGCACTCAGTGAGCATTGGTTTGTGTCATTATTTTTTTCCTAGAACTCCTAACATGATAGAGGAATATCTCTGAGGCCTAAAACTGCATAGCACCCCTAAACCGTGTATCTATAGTTCCTTAGTGCAGCGGTTCTCAACGTGTGGGTTGTGACCCCTTTAAGGGGTCAAATGACCCTTTCACAGGGATCACTTGAGATCATCAGAAAACAGATATTTATATTATGATTCATAACAGCAGCAAAATTACAGGTAGGAAGTAGCAACAAAATGATTTTATGGTTGGGGGTCACTACAACGTGAGGAACTTGTACTAAGGGATTTCAACATTAGGGAGGTTGAGAGTCACTGCCTTAAAGCATCATGACCTCTGTCTACTATAGTCTACCTTGAGGCCTTGGCTAGGAATGTAGTTCAGTGGTGGAGGACTTGCCTAGCACGTGCAAGATAAAAAAACAAAAACGAGAGAGAGAGAGAGATAAAAAGAGAGAGCTGGGGGAGCCCCTTATTGCTTTGTCCCAGTGAGGGTTCCCAAGGCTGTGGTTTTAACTCTTCCAGCCATCTTCTCATCTGTGCAGGGAGGGGATGGGGTACCCACTAAAAAGGGGTACCCTCATTGCCCCTTTTAGTTGGTCTTGCAGGTAGGCTGTAGGTGCCTGTCTATTTGATGCTGTCACATTAAGTGAAGTAGAGTCCAGGCCATTCTCCGGAAAGAAAAGAATGTGCTGGCTGGTGTAGCTGGCCTTTGAATGTCACATCTTGAGCCCCTCTCTGAGTCTGAAAGAACCTACGAGGGAATGGATGTGGATGGGAGCTCCTGGCTAGGGAAGGTGCTCCTGACACCTCGTTTACATTTCTAGAACTCATCTTGGTTCAGGCATTTTAGATTTCTGAAGAAAGTAAGGCTGGCAGATCCTCAAAAGCAGAGGGTGTCATTAAAAAAAAAAATGGAAACTTGGATACTGTCCAGAATTGTGTTTGCGGTAGAGACACTGAAGCAGGCGGCCTAGTCACTCAGGTGTCTGGAAAATACCCCAACACGGGCAGATAATTAGATACAGGCTGGGCACCATTCTGCTTTCCTTATAG